TTTTTTTTTTTTTTTTCTCTCTGTTATGAGGAAATCTAGATTTATTCTCCTTATACATTACTGCAAGTACTATGACAAGCCATCATGTTGATCAGAAGTGGATGCTTCTTGGATGTGTTTAGATTCTTTAGAATCCAATTTATTGGTCTGTCAAAACTTAGAAAATTACATAAATTATTGTGCAAAGATCTATGTTAAAAGTCCTCATTGCCTATGCACTTTCATTGGCAGATGTGCTGCTGTGTGTGGTCGTGCTACAATTGGTGTCTTGCTGATTTTATGTGTCTGGGCATATGCTATAAACAAGTATAAGAAGCCTCATTCTACTGCATTATCATTTTTTTTGGGTATGGTTCTACGATATGGCCTTACAGAAGAGATTAGACTATGGATTTCATGGATATCAATTGCCCCCCACACCTCGAGCTGCCAGATCAGTCAGGGTAAATCGATGATATCATTTGCTGTTATATTTCATGTTATTTGTCCAGTAGCTATGAAAGAAAAAAAAAAAGTAGAAGTATTTTATATTGATTCATCTATTGACTCGTTTTAGAGGAGGCGGGGCTCTTTTAAGAGAAAAGCCGGTGACCAGCAGATATGTGCATTTGACCTGTTGGCAACTGTAGCTGGGAAGTTACTAATGGACGGGGAAAATTGTCCGCCACCAGCAAATACATCTTTCACAAAGGGGCATGCACCATTTTTCATATATACTAATACTATTTTAAAAGAAGAAAATGACGAACGAAAAGCTCGCGATCGAGATGTTATCTCGAGGCCGATATCAGGGATAAAGACTCCTGATTGCTCAGAGAATATAGGTCCCTTGGTCAACGATGATTGTAAGCTCCGCCTTGGAATTTTTACTCAACCGGATGTTGAGTCGTCGAATTTTAGGCTTTCGACTACTTGTGGGCCAGAGGAGGGTAAGAGTGAGAAGGACGTAAAACTAGAGTTTGCAAATAATAGGTTTTTGTCAATAAGTGATAAGACTTCCCCGTATAGTTCAGGACTTGTGGAGAATTCTGACCGAAAATCATCTGCCTTAGTTTGTTCAGTTAATAATAATGTAAAGTTTCCATTTCTGAAGGACCATGCTCCTTGTGGTTCTTTCCCTGTTTATCGGGATACTGTAAAGTTAGTTAATAGGGATGATGACGAAAATTCGCCTACGACTAGAAACAAGACCATTAAGCCACCACAACATTTTGGAGAGCGTAGGTTGAGGAAGTTGCTACCGTCCCAGCATTGCAGAATAACTTCTAATGTGAAGGATGATGGACGCTATACTAGTGGTGAGTACCTGTGAGAATTCAGTCTTAACTTGATTTTTTTTGGTAGCCATATTGTTAGTAATGGCATATTTGAGTTTTTGTTATCTTGCCTTTTTCATACAGAAAGTATCAGTTGTCCCTCCAAAGACAATAATTTAAAGTGCCAAAGGCCTCTGAGAGATTATCCTTTCAAAAAGAGAAAGCTCTATGACTGTGGCTCGGTGCCTACTTCTGATGAAGGTGTTACCTCTCAAGTGACTGAAAATGGCAATAACGGAGAGGGACTCTGTTCTAATCCTAATCCCCACAGAGGTAGCTTTTTACAATAATCTATATTTTGCTAGGATTTGAACAATATTTGGTTTGATAAACTTGAGACAAACTGCAGCAACCCAAGCTCCAACTTCTGTACATGTACCTGGTGGGTATGTGTCCTTTCGTTCCAGGAATTCACAAGGTATGATATTACAACTTTTTATTATAATCCCTCATTCTTTTCTTTCCCTTTCTTCTGTTTTGTGTGGATACCTGTTCGTTCAGCTTCTCTAAGTTGTCATGCGGTTTTATGTTTTATGCAGTGAAATTCAAGATCAAGTCTTTCAGGGTTCCCGAGTTACTCATTGAGATTCCTGAAACTGCTACCGTTGCTTCTCTGAAGGTAATTTGAATTAGCTAAAAAATGTTCTTATCATATTATTGATGACTTGAATAAATAAATGTGCAGAAAAGAGTTATGGAAGCAGTGAATGCCGTTCTTGGCAGTGGATTGCATGTCGGGGTACTTCTTCAGGGTAAGAAAATTAGAGACGATAATAAAACTTTAGCAGAAACCGGAATTAGTCATGATAACAAGATGGGCATGCTGGGGTTTAGTCTCGAGCCCAGCTCCATTCCTACCCCAATTCGACTTTATCCTGAAGATCGACCACGTCAACTGTTGTGTCAAAGTCCGCAGCCCCTGCAAAAGTACACTTTATTTACTGTTCTTTTCATGTGCAATTGCTTTTGCTTTAGTGGTCATTGCTTTTGTTTTCCAGTATGTGCATAGAAAAAGGTAGAAATAAGAGGTGTTTGTTTGGTACCTACCAGCTATCCACCTCAAAGTGGTGGTGGGCAGAGGAATTTAGAGCATCGTGGAGATGTGGATGGAAGGAAGAATTTGATGGAATGTGAGCAGCATGATTCTGGTCCTTCTTCTTCTCTCGGCATCTCGTCATTACAGAGAAATAGTTCAGAGTGTAAAGCACTTACTGTATCATCAAGAAAGGCAGATACTATGGTTGTCCGCAAATCCAAATGCTCTGAATCAGGTCAGCGCCGTATCCGCAGACCTTTCACTGTTGCTGAGGTCGAAGCTCTCGTTCAGGCTGTCGAGAAGCTTGGCACCGGAAGGTATATATACATACATATATATATTTGACAATGATTGATTGTTGCTCCATGTTAACCGAATCGAGTTGTGGTTGCTCCTTTTTTCAATACAATACGGCAGATGGCGTGATGTCAAGCTCAGAGCCTTCGATACTGCAAAACACAGGACTTACGTGGATTTGAAGGTGAACTGAAATTTCATCAGTTTCTGCATGCCACCCCTTTAATTACTTATATATTTAATGTTTTAACAGGATAAGTGGAAAACTTTGGTCCACACGGCAAGAATATCCCCACAGCAGAGGCGGGGAGAGCCTGTGCCCCAGGAGCTTCTCGACCGAGTCTTGACGGCTCATGCTTATTGGTCGCAGCAGCAGCAGCTCAAGTCGCGGCCTGACACTTGCATTCACCTTTGAGAAAACCATTGCCTTGTGTGTTAGGTTAGTTTTTTACTGTGAGTAATGTGAAAAAATAAATATATATAAGTCTGTCAGTGAATGAGTGTATTTGTTTATGTAAAAATTTTTTGGGAGGATTATAGCCTAGGTAGGCAGCATTTGTAAATGGGTGAAAAAAAAGTTCTTCTAACTTGATAACTTGATATATATATTTCATGATCAAGATGAAGTCTTGTTTCTTACGGTTACAGCGATTGGACTGTATTTATTTTTTTTTTTTGTGTAG